AATCCACTCCGGTTCGTAATAGAAAAATTCTAGAGATTTTAAGAGGTTATTATTTTATTAATCGGCCTGTTATATATACAAATTATTTTTCTTTGTGATTGTTAAAGTAATTTTATAGTTCTGTGATGCAAAGTTTTGCGTTATAAGTTTTATATAAAATTAGGGAAATATTTTTTCTTAGAATACAATGGTTTAATGTATCTGATAGTTTTAGGGACATTTTATGGTGATTCATCAAAATTAAAAAAATGTTCAGGCACAATTCAACAGAAAGTTGATAAATAATGTCTATATCTTTGTGGCGGATTTATTTCTTCAAAAAATCTACAAAACAAAATAGTTGTTTTTTTTAAACACCGATGTGATAAGAGATTAGACCAAAAGTTGATAATTAATTTTATTAAAAATTCCGTTGAAATTAGAGTCGACGATTACTATTTCTCAGGAGAACTCATATGTAAATTTGCTAACAACAAAAACATTTGATATTTCATAGAGAAAAACACTTTAAGAAAATGATCGAAATCTAACTAAAACAAACATTTTCACACTTATATGCCTCTATTCAATTTCCATTCTCATTCTGATGTAATGCCAGTCGAGGAATCATCAAGAAGCCCATGTTTTTATGGAATAATTTATGAATTTTCTCCAGAACATCGAATTTCTCGAAACTATTTCGGTTACGTTCATAACTTGTGTCTGAGCCACGGCACGTGAAACTAACATTAGGAATTTAATTAAACATAGAGACAAATTATGGAGATATTAACCTTGGCGTATTAGAATTCCGAGTTATTTTATGACTTCTTGAATCATATTTACTCGACAAATCGCCGAACAGTTCCGCATCATAAATATCTTCATGGCGCTTTAAAATGTCTATTAACGCTCAGACACCAGATATAAAACGGCCGTCTTGTTAAATAAAGGGTCCTTGAAGAGCAATTTTGATTTCGAAATCTATTAATGTTTACAAAAAGAAATTATGCTTATGCAATATAGTATCCTTGAAACCGCTTGACACATCCTAGGTTACTTTTACAGCTAATAACATCGGAATATTATGTTGAAACTGTAATTTGGTAAAATAAATAGAAGATAAACATGAAAAAGCGATTTGTTTAAAAATATGCAGGAGTATAAATTTAATAGAGAATTAAGTTATTAGATCTTAAAGGCCTTATTCTTATTACTATTATTGCCAATCACTGAAAACACAAATGTGATTTAAATTTCCACTGCCTAGATTTTAAGATGTATTGTGGATGTATGTCTTAAAGAGATTAGGAAAAAAAATGAAAGAGTATTTTAAATTAACGTCTCCTTTTTGCTGTTAAGGCGAATCTGCACGGAGCCTACTTTGTTTTGGCGGAATTCGAACCGTGGTCCTCGGCCATATTCTCAAGACTTCAATTTAGACAAACTTGGATTTATATTAAATTGGGAAAAATCATATAAAATATAATTCAAAATAGTTTACAATATAATTACACTAACCCGGCAACGGCCGCGAGGAAATCGAACTTCGGTGACCTGCCTTTGATTATCGACCAGAAATTGTTATATTTTAATTGTTTAATTATTAATGTTATTTAACAACATATATTGGATGATTTTTCCCAATTTGATATAAATCCAAGTTCGTCTAAATTGAAGTCTTGACAATATCATTGTCAAAGGCCTACCGACTTGGTGAGTGTCCAACTCGATTCTTACTCACGAGATATCCGATCCCATCCGGCCTCTAACCGGTGTGAATGAGCATTGTGTGTCAATAGATTTTAGACTCTTGCCATGGAATAACAGCCTAATGGAGTTTCCACACAGTTACCCGTCTATTCACTCACGTCGTTTAATGTCGCTTAACATCAGTGATCTATCGAGAACCAATGTTTCCATGTTGCTGGTCCTTTGTCCAGATTAAGGGAAACTGATATTTACTATTTTTAATTAATATTTTAAAATTCATAGAAAGAGGCCTCCATGGATTTGTAGTTTTCATAAAGCTGCAATTCCATTTTTAAGGTCATTCGAAATTATTCAACGATATATAAAGTTTCAAAGTCTATGTATTTTATCAGTAAGTTTATTCATCATTTACTTTCAACTAACCTTGATTTACCACAGTTTACAGTAATTTTATGGTCTCTTAAATTATATCCACTCGACAAATAGTCTAATATAAAATTCGATATCAATTCTGCTATATTTTCATGGCCTTCCCGTCAATGCCAATTCACATAGAGTAAAAATGCATAAAAATTTAAAGGTAAAACATCAAGAAATCAAGAATTTGTCTAAAAAATGTATTTTATTGTGTTTTCAACATAAACAGTATAATTTTTGAATCTAGAAAGACTTTTTTAGCGGAGATTGAACTTAGGTTGAGATGCAGTTATTTTACTGATTTAAAAATGTGTGTTTTAAGTTTCAAAATGTAAACAAACGGTGCCGATGAAAAGGACACATTTGTCAAAATACCTTGGAAGATGTTTGTTAGAAATTCCCCAAACAAAATTTTTGTTGCGCCAGGTCATTTTGTACATTCTCGAAGTTTTCTGTCACTCACATTATCTCGTTCGTTAAAGTGTGATTTACGACTGGCTTGTAACAGTTCTCAGAATACCAGCTAGAAATAAGGACAATAAAAAATTAACTATCTTTACACATTCCGACCGAATGTATCAACGTTAATTTGTTTCTTACTCATTAGAAACTATTTGTACTCTTAGAATACCCGCATATTCTCAAAAAGATGGTTTGTCTTTAGTTTTTTACAATATTAAGTTTGATTTTTTTTCCTTGATCTTCCAGATTCTTCAGTTCCGCTTTCAGTTGGTTCCCATTTTCCCCAAATCCTTTAATTTAATAGGCGTTAGTAATGTGAACACAATTTTTTTAAGTGTTATTAATTTTAGAAGAATATGTAGATACGTTTAGATGACCTTTCTATATTTGCGTCATATTTTAATAAATTGAAGTAATTCTCTCTAAATAATAAATATTCGTCGATAATCGATTAATGCTACGTCATTACTAAGTTACAAAAATAAAAATAATAAGTCTTCCAGACTTCTGCTCTTACTACGTCATACTTATGTCGAAAGAAACTTTCCATAGAAATTATTCCTACTAATCATGCATTTTTGATACGACTATTAAGTATATCGATATATGATGCTATTACAGTCACCCACTGAGTGTTCATTAAATAGTTATTTTATTATTGATTTCTTCTGATTTAGATTGCTTTAATAACATTGAAAAAAAAAATGGAAACTATATCTGAAAGACAGTATAATAGATTTCAATAAAGCACATGTAGTTAATCGCGCGCCCGCGTTTTTTTTTATTTATTTAATATTTATTAATAATTTTAATCACGTCGGCACTGGCAAATCCTAGCCATATAATGAGAGAAACAATGCTATCCCGTCATATGAAAGAACATCTGCCTATGATAATCAATGAAATCCCTTATGAAAATCCTCCATGGCTAATACCTGAAACTGAAGTAAGACCTGAATAAACTAAAAGGTCAAGACACATCGCCTGAAATATATCAACGAAAGTTCCAGAAAATATTAGAACAGTACAATGAAAAAAATTTCATTTATACTGATGTCTCCAAAACACAAACTGGTGCTGGATGTGCAATTATTATGAACGGGTCAGCTTTCCAATGGGCTTTGAGATATTTATGAAGCATCAGCTTTCTTCACAGAAGCCTTATCCTATGTCATCGAGGAATATAATCAAACTAGAGTGGTAATTGTTTCTGACTACTTAGAGATCGTGTCTAAAATTAATGAAATTTTTGTCCATGATCCTCTAAAACAAAAAAATCAAACGCTTATTCGAGAGTGCAGCGAAAAGGGAAACAAACTCACGGTTGTATGGGTCCTAAGCCACACTAATATACTTGGCAACACAATGGCAGAGGAAACTGCTCGGCAAGCTGCTAGAAGAGATACCATTGATTTCCCTTATATTAGTAAATACTATTTCAAAGTACTACTACATAAAAGAACAGAAAGGGAATAGCAGGATGAGTGGGCAGGTAAACCTTCAAAGCTTCGCGCAATAAAACAGGATCCGTCAACCCCATCCTTATACATCCTGTCTTGCACTAGGATGAGCGGATGATTCCAGAGTGCATCATCTCTGTATTGGGCATACTGCAGTGACTCATGCATATCTGCTTAAAGGAGAAATGCCTCCAATGTGCATAGTCTGTGATGTAACAGAGTTGTTGACAGTAACTCACATTATATATGAATGTCCTCAATATACTGTAGAAAGAAGTAGATTCGATATACGTTGCGAAATTCGCTAAAATTTAATTGAAGAAAAAATTAAAAATATTTTGAACTTTATGAAAGATATTAATATATACCACCAACTGTGGTACTCGCCTCTGATACTGTAATTCAACTGTGATAGTGTGGTGTACATAATTACCTATTTTTCTCGTTATTTGTTTTCGTTTATCTACTTTTTTCTTTTGTTTTTAATCTTCTGTCACTCAAATTGAAATGTTTATGTCAGTGTAGATTTTTAAATTTTGAATTGCTCTTATAAGAGTGATCCCTTGAGGGTATTAAGATAGATCTCTGTGATTACATTGTTATCAATAGCGAGTTGCACATAGCTAATGATCCTGGTGGTGGTCGATGCCTAGGAAAAAATCATATTTTTTTTAAACCAAACCAAACCATATTAAAGAGGTATTATTTCTGAAAATATTACATTTTTGGAGCTATAAGCAAAAAAAGCAAAAATTGCAATTTTTTTACGTTTATTTTTGCATTTTTTTTGGTTCCGTCACGAAATTTGGTTAGCAAACATCAGATTCGGTTTCAGCGCCCGGCGCCCCCAAAAAACTTAAAGAACAAAATAAATCAGAACTACCCCAAAATTTTCCCAAAAAAATACAATTATTTGACCAGACTATAAATTAATACATTCAATGAATTTAAATCGTGTATTTTTTTCAGATTTGCTGTATAGACAAACGCTTACAATTAACAACAGCCCCATAGAAGTAGAGATTGTGGACGTATGTAGTTGTGATCTAGAAGCTTTTCCAGAAGAAGCAATTTACTGGGCGGATGCAGCGATAGTAGTATACGACATCACGTGTAGAGCATCGTTCAATCAAGCCACGGAGATGCTTCAAAAAGTTCTGCAGTTACGTTCACAGTTACCGACGGTATTGCTAGGAAACAAGGCTGATCTCGAACACCTCCGAAAAGTAAGCTTACGTATTTATTTAGCTTAAAAAAATATCTTATTTTTATTGTCATTCAAAATAAACCAATAATCGCCTTTTATATTTCTTAAGTTTAAGTTAATGTGGTTAATCATTTTCAAAACTCATTTAATAGACCTAGAAGATGCGAACTAAATTTTTAGGTTTCAGCTAGTGATGAGCAAATACAAAACCAAGACCAAGACTCCCATGGTTATGGTCTTGGTCTTGCAGAATCCAGTCTTGGTCTTGGTCATGCTCAATACTTTTGCAAGTCTTACATTTTTTTAATAAATTTTTACTAGGCGTACTTTCTACATAGGTAATCTTGAACAAAAAAGTATTTTTGGTAATTTAATGCAAAAAAAACTTTAAAGAAAAACTTATTACAATATTTGTCTGAAGGAAATTATATTATTTTTCAATATATTATATTAAATCAGCATCTTTTTCTTTAAAATTTTATGCAGTAGTCAGAAAATCACTTTATAATAAATTAAAATAATAATTTTGAAAAACTAAGTCATTTCTTATACAAGGTGTCCCAGAAATAAGTGCAAGTATTTTAACTGGTAGTATAGTTCAACCCCAGAAACACGCCTATGAGGATTTTTCCTCGAAAAAATTGAAAATTCGGAATATTTTGAAAAAAAAATTTGGATTTTTTTTAGTTTTTAGTTAAAAAACATTGCACTTATTTCTGGAAGATACCATGTATAATAAAAAAGAAAAAAAAATGCACGACCGCAATAGTCTCGCAACCTTTGTCTTGGTCTTGCAGAAATCTTGCAATGCACGGTCTTGGTCTTGGTCTTGTAGATCAAAGGTCTGATCCTTAGTCTTGGTCATGATCCTGCTTTTTCCGCTAGGCCAAGACCAGTTTCACTCATCACTAATTTCAGCTACCTAAAAATAAATTTCAAATAAATACAAAGGTATATGAAAACACTCTTTGTTTTCAGAAGACAATACTTTGGGTATGTCATTTTTTTTAATATTCCCACAGATAAGATAATATATTGTTACGCATATACTATACCAATTTATTAAACAGAGGTTATCAGAAGAGCTAATCGTTTCTGAAATATGAGAATATCCAGACAAAAATAAACATACATTACCTTCATAGCAACCCAACTTCATAAATTCGTGCATTGGTAAAAAATCTTGGTTAATAATATGGTTATAGTTACAGAACGTAAAGTTTTAAAACTATTTCTCTTAAATATGTCTTAAATACTTGTTAGCATTGATGATATGCCAAAAGGCACTTAGTTAAACATCGTGTGTTTTAGTAAATAACCACTTACAAATAAATAATAGGTCTCAGTAGATGATTTAAATATTTTAAATAGTGAGAATAGATATGTACATTTCTTCTTTTATAATTTGGAATAACAGCACTTGTGAACAAATGATGGAGCATAATATGTTTGGATTTCATTCGGTAAATACCAAAATTTCACCAGTCTTGACGTGCAGTTATTGTTTGGCAACTGAATTGACGTAAATGATTTGCGATAATTTACAAAATAGACGATAGAATCGCAATTAAATAATTATTTTTGAACAAAAATTTGCCTAGAAAAATTAAAGGTCAGTTGGTTGTTTGTCTATATACTTCTCCACCGTCCTTCACCAAGATCCAAAAATAAATCTGCTACAAAGGTACGAACATTGCTTAAAGTGCTAACCCATTTTCCGTTTGTATAAGTTCTGTGTATTATACAGTATGTCCCCGGAATGTCTTTACACGAGGAAAAACTTTTTTATTATTGACATTTAGAGGCAAATTTTGCTTGTTCTAAAATGGTTATTCCCGTTTATACTTTTCCAAATTTTTTTACCGTTTTAGAGAAAATATAAAAAAAACATGAAAAATATTGTTGAATTTTGTCATAGAAGACGTTTCTATGGTAATATAACTTTTGAATAGCATTCTTTAAAGATCGTTCTAATTAATTTTGTTTTTTTCTGTTTGTGTGTATTGTTGCTGTAATAATATGAAAAGTTGCTGCAGCTTTAAATAAATAAAATAAGGCTTTTATTGTACAAAAAGCCAAAATAGCTTCATCGATAAAGCATTTAAAAAACAAACAAAAGCAAAAAAACATATACAAATAATAAAAAAATATCACACAATACAAATCATACAATTCAAAAAAAATTACGTCATTAAAATTACAAATAGAACACAAATGGACAATGCAGAACACAAAAAAGACATATCGATAAAATTTTACAATATGAAAATTGTAAATGGATATTATCATTAAAAAGTTATAAAATATTAAATACTAGAGACTTTTAACCAGAGATGATCAAAATTTTAAAATTCAAAATTGTTCAAGATTAAACATCAACAAAAAAGTCGTTTATCGCATATAGGACTTTCTCCAGTAAGTATGATTTCAGAGCTTTGCGAAATGCGGGAAAGAATGAAAGCGACTTGATATCCAAAGGCAGATGATTGTACATTTTTTGGCATTGTACAGTATTGAGCCTTTAACTAGTTCTGAGCTCGGGGTTGGCAGTTAAAGATTGTGCTCCGCATTTCTAAGTGGATAGTTGTGAGGTGGGCTTTCGGGAATAGCAGATATCTGCTTGCGGATTAAGCTTTTCTTGCATGCAAGTAGAATTGCGAACCGTAAAAACGATCTTAACGCTAAAGATATGTATACAAGTCGGTTGTATACAAATATTCAGATTAAAGTAATTTTCACATAATTCCTCGACATCTGTTGAAAGATCGTGTTTAAGATCGATTCGCACTTTACAACTTTCAGCGTTAAAAAAGGCACCGACATCCATAAATGTATTTATTTTTGTATCACTCGTGTATTTTCATTAACGTGGAAACTTATCTCAAGTAAATATTCAGATTAACAACGTGCAAATTGCACGACGCTCGTAAATATCACGCTGGGTTCGTGTGATCTGGCTGCCGGGGAAGTCGTGAAATTGATCGATTTTTTACTCGTATGAAGTGGTTTTTTGATACGTTCGCCGTTATCATTTATTATTTTTGCCCTGATTCGGTTGCATGTCTCGTGCTGAGCTAATTTGATATTTTTACGATTTTTTCCTAATAATTTAGATAATATTATTTATTGCTTTAGCATGATAATATCTGAAAGTATATAAAAAATGAGATATAATATAGATAAAAAAATCATTCATAAACATAATGTGATAGTTAATCAATATATTTTTTTTATGTCTATAATGCTGGCACCAATTCTTTTCAACATATATACAAATGACCAACGTATTCCAGATAATACTAGAACCTTTGCATATGCAGATGACCTAGCAATAACAGTTGAAGGCAAACGGTTCGAAGATATCGAGAAGAAACTAGAAAGCTCCCTAAAAACAATGTCAACCTATTACAAAAAGAATTCTTTAAAACCCAACCCCACCAAAACGAAAGTGAGTGCATTCCACCTTAATTCGAGACAGGCGACCCGCAGACTTAATGTTACATGGGACGGGACACTACTAGAACACAGAGATAAGCCTACCTATCTTGGCGTCGTGCTGGACAGAACATTGACTTACAAATATCACTGCGAAAAAACACGCAAAAAAGTAGAAGCACGAAATTCCCTTATAAGGAAGCTGACCAATAGTAACTGGGGAGCCAAACCTACTCCTTTGCTGGACAGAAATGAAGACAAATGCGACTGCGGCGCCTTTCAGGACATGGAACATCTTCTTCAATGTCCTGCGTGCCCCCACAGATGTACCCTCGATAACCTATGGCTGGCTAAACGGGAAGCATTGGACGTAGCCCATTACTGGGTTAATAAACTATAATATAATCCGGATACGAAAAAGTAAAGTAAAGTTATGTCTATAATTATAAATATGTCATCATAATCATCATTTATTCAACCATTTCCAATTATGGTGTAGCCTCCCTCATATATTTAGCTATTCTCTTTGTAATTGGGCCCATTGTTAGCTATGTGGGCACATAGCATAAGTTATCCCTGGCAATTATTATGGTCCGATCTCAGGTTTGTTCTTCTTCTAGGTCTCTTAATTCCTCGTGGGTGCCATGCAGTAATTTCTGTGGTCCATCTGTAGTTCGTCCTTCGTTGATTTCCTGCCCACTTGAGGGATTTGATTTTGTTAATGACATCTATTACCTGGGTCGTTTGTCGTATCCACTCTATTCTTTTACGGTATTTCTTTATTACTCCCAGCATATTTCGTTCCATTGAGTGTTGTGCGACCTGTAATTTCCTTATAATGTCCGTTTTAAGTGTCAAGGTTTCGCACTCATAGGTCATGACTGGTCAGGGGCGTAGATAGGTGTATGCTATGGGGGTGGTACTATGATTAAGTCGCAAAAAAAATCACCGTCGGAATTTTTTTGTCGAATTAAAACGACGGCGATATTTTTGTCTATAAAAAGATATAAAAACATAACACAAAAATTAAAATATAGATTTGTAAATAACATACACAAAAATGAAACAACGACGTTTATTAGTTAATTTTCTATAAACTATAAATAAAAAAATCTAAACTATCAAAAAAAACTATAAAAACTATAAATAAAACTACAAAACAAAATCAAGTTTTCTAGTACGCTGTTTGGAAAACCTATCAATAACAGCATCGACATTTATTTCAATATCTTTATGGATATTGATTAGAGTTAACCCCACTAATCTGTCCTGGCCAATAAGAACACTTTGTGTGCTTTTAATTAGGTCGAACATATTATAAACGATAAATCAACATAATTAAAAGCATACAAAGTGTTCTTATATGTCGGATATTAATTAAAAAAAATCCTTTCATAGTCAATGACTATTTCAATTCTCGTATCTCGTCAAGCGTCAGGGGGGGGGGTACTGTCCCCCAGTACCCCCCCCCCCCTTATCTACGCCCTTGTGACTGGTAGTACACATTGGTCGGATGTTTTCTTCTTTAGTAAGTGGCATTCTAGATTTGAATATGACTGAGTTTCTCTCATAAGTACTCCGTAT